GGAGGAGGAGGAGGAGGAGGTGGAGGGGTATACGGGTGGTGAAGAGGATGGGGATGATGATGATGCTGCTGATGCTGATGCTGATGCTGATGGTGTTGATGGTGTTGATGGTGGTGATGATGATGCTGATGATGCTGCTGATCATGATTATGCTGCTTATGATGATGATACTGATGATGCAGATGATGATGATGCTGATGATGATGATCATGATGATGATGATGATGATAATGATGATGATGCTGATGAGGATGCTGATCATGATGCTGATGATGATGCTGATGATGCTGTTGCTGATGATGATGCTGATGATGATGATGATGATGATGATGATGATGATGATGATGATGATGATGATGATGGTGATGGGAGGAGGAGGACGAGGAGGAGGAAGTCGAGGGTGAAATGGGGAAATAATGCAGGAAAAAGTGATGAGGTTGATGCTGATGCTTATGCTGATGCTGCTGCTGATGATGATGACGATGACGATGACGATGGCGACGACGATGATGAGGATGATGATGATGATGCTGATGATGCTGTTACAGGTGATGATGATGATGACGACGACGAGGACGATGATGATGATAATGGTGATGCTGATGATGATGATGGTGGTGGTGATGATGGTGATGATAATGATGATGATGATGATGATGCTGATGACGATGATGATGATGATGATGATGATGATGATGATGCTGCTGATGAGGATGAGGATGATGATGATGATGATGATGATGATGATGATGATGATGATGATGATGATGATGATGATGATGATGATGATGATGATGGTGATGATGATGATGATGATGATGATGATGTTGAGGTTGAGGTTGATGTTGACGATGGTGATGAGGAGGAGGAGTTGGAGGAGAAGGGGGAGGTGGAGGAGAAGGAGGAAGAGGAGGCAATTTCTCCTTGTCCTCCTCCTCGCTCCCCTCCTGCATCCCCCCTCTTTCCCTCCCTTCAGGGTCGATGGAAGGCATAATGCCAATGACACAGCGCGGTTCCTCTCTGCCTGTTCCCTCTCTCTCTCTCTCCAGAAGATGCGCCTGCCGGAGAAAATGCTTGGCCCGCCGACGGGCTGGAGGAGGGCGTGCAGGCAGCTGCGGAGCTCGGACATGCAGAAGCAGGGTGCGGCCAACGCTGCAAGGCCCCAGGAGAGCAGAGCATTGACAGCGCGAGCACCAAATATACAAGGGGCCCCCAGATGCCTGAATGCACTGCGACAGCAACCGCCTGCGCGCCCCGGTTCGGCCCCCCCGCGGCCCCCCGAGAGCCGGGGGGCCACTCTTGCCGGGGGGTCGCTCTTGCGTAAGACTGCCGCTCTTCCAGCTCGTCCTCCCCCCAGAGAGCAGCATGGCCACCGGGCATGAACGCCGAGGTGGCCACAGAGTCACAGCTACCCATCGGCACTGCAAGGCATGCTGCGTACGGGCCACAGCGGATGACCTCTGCCTGCTGCGTGCCGTTGCTCCCAGCGTTCGCCTCTGCACCTGTCCTTGTCCCTCCTGTGCCTCGTAGCCCATTCGTGGAGGTACGCCACAGACGGCGCGACTCGAATCGCCCAGGAGCACAGCACAGTCAGCCTGTACTTCATCCGCAGATGCTGTGCTGCACCTTTTGTGGCCTGCTTCAAGTCTGGTGGATCTTCGACCTGTCCCGTCTACGCTGACGTAGTGACTCACACTGGCAATGGCATTAGTTGGAACGTGCAGAATTCCACACGGCGAGGGTGCTGGCCTACCTACAACGTGGCTCAGGTCGTCTTCGCCTACTTCTTCGGCTGTTCCCTTGCTGCTGCCATCACCCACAGCTCCACCCATCATGCCTCCCTCGGCGTGTTCCAGTGCGTATTCCATTCCCGAAGGATGTGCAGTCAAGGTCGGAGGGTGTCCCCCACTATCAAATTGCACAGCTCCGGCATCTCACAGGCGACCCACCCTTAACAACGCTCCTGCGCACACCTTAGAGCGGCCGTCTCGCACCAAGTTCTGTCTGGCACAGCCTCCGAGTGCAGCACCGCCCGCTACGGCTGACCTGACTTACGCTCGTCGTCGATCACTTTTTCGAGCGTGCACGTGGCTTTGATACGTGCTGGGCGAACAACAGGGTGCCACCTTCCAGGGAAGAGTCCTAGATGATGCTCGGGGGGGAGGGGGGGGAGGCCCTTTGTTGTGCAGCTTCCTCAGCGGGACCCTGATGGTGGAGATACCCGTGCGACATCCGGCAGCCTGCACGGCGTCCCGGACCACGAGCTGCGCCTGCCGTGACCCGCCCAGACAAGGCCCGTTCTGCGCAGCCCTTGCGGCTCTCAGTGCACGATTCCATACCTGGAGCCTCGGCCGCAGCATCAGCAGCCCGTCCAGTTCATCCTGTCCTGAGTGTCGCCCTCGCTATTCCCTCTCTCCTCGCCCGCCCTCCTTCCTTTGCCCCTGTCCTTGTACTAATTTGCTTGTTCGCGCCCCGATGCAGCCTTACCCACGTGAGCGCTCGCCGAGTCCACGGCAAAAGGTGTTCCACCCAGACGGGCGATGCGACCCGAGGCTGTCGGGTCCACCGCGCGGGCTGCAGGCGGGTGCGGTCGGCTGGGCTGCCGTTGCTGCTCGCCCATCTCGCCACTGTCGCTGCACGGGTGCCGAGCACCGCCATGAGGGAACCAGGCCCTGACTGAGAGAAGCTGGCCCTGCAGTTTTCTGCCGTCTGCGGGCTCCCGGGGCCCTCCACGGGCTCTGGGGCCGAGCAGCTCGGGACGAAGAACTGGTCCATGCGAGGAAGGCCTCCTCCTCCTCCTCCCCCTCTTCCTCCTCCTCCTCCTCCTCCTCCTCCCCCTCTTCCTCCTCCTCCTCCTCCTCCTCCTCCTCCTCCACCTCCTCCTCCTCGTCCTCCTCCTCCTCCCTCCCCGTCCTCCCTCCCCATCCTCCTCTCCCCACTCGCCGCGGGAGCCGTTTCCCTCAGGACTAGGTTGTCTCGTGCCAAAGAGTGCTGCAGGCACCAGGCGCGGCACACGAGCCTCAGGCAGCGCTTCGCTTCGTCTGGCCGCGCCCAGTGGGGGCAACCACGGCGTACACTGCCTGCGACCTGGTCGACACAGGGTCGCAGGCAGTGCGCGCCCTTCCGCAGCCATTATGGCTCAAGGCCGAGCGTGGCTCCCGGCGCCCCCCCCGCGCGCGCGGCCCGCCCCCGCGCGCGGGCGAGGCGTCGGTGCGCGCCCCCTGGCGCGCGGCGCTGCCCGCGGCGGGCGCACGGTGGCTCCGCCCCGCGGCGGCTCGGCGATGGCATCGAGCTTCGGCGCCGGCCTGCTCTCGATTGCGTGCCCGACGTCGACGACGCCGGGGCCCCTGCAGGAGGTGGAGGTCACGCTGGAGAAGGGCAAATCGTCTCTCGGCGGCAGGGCCGACTGGCCCAGCAACAGGATATCGACCACCAAGTACGAGTGGTACAGCTTTCTTCCGAAGAACTTGGTGGAGCAGCTCCACAAGTTCTCGACGGTGCATCTTCCGAGCATTTCCGCGCTGCAGTACGTGTGCCAGTTCACCGATCTGTTCATCGGTACGATCAAATACATCACCACGCTCGGGCAGCAGGTCGTGCTCATGGCGCTCTCCGCGTCGATCTCGCTGCGGGACGACCTCCAAAGAAGAGAGGCCGATCGCAACATCAACAGCACCAGGGCTGAGAAATACGCCGGCGGCGCGGGCGCGGGCGGCCAGCAGTGGGAGGGCGTGACGTGGCAGGAGATCAGGGTCGGAGACGTCCTGAGGGTGAACAGGGAGGAGGAGTTTTCTGCGGACCTCGTCCCGCTGTACAGCAGTGGGGACAAGGGCGCGATCTACGTCTCCACCGCGAATCTGGATGGCGAGACAAACTTGAAAACGAAAGCTGCCCTGTCGGCGACACAGTGGGCGCTGCAGAAGAATCCGGACTCGGACCTGGCCGAGCTCTCCTGCGTGATCCACGCGGGGGCGCCCAAGGCCTCCATTCATGATTTCAAGGGTTTCATGGAGGTGCCGGCAGGACCCTCCGCAGCCAGGGAGCAGCTGTCCCTGGGGCCCGACCAGCTGCTGCTGCGGGGGACGAGGCTGCGGAACACTGACTGCATCATCGGTGTGGTCGTGTACACCGGCGCTTGCACGAGGATGGTGCTGAACGCCCGGCAGGCGCCCATGAAGCAGTCCAACATCGAGATCACAACCAATAGAGTGATGTGGATAGTCCTGGCGGCGCAGGCGCTCCTCGCCCTGTGCAGCGACGTCGTGTACCTGATCAACAGGAGCTCCCTGGAGACTCACTGGTATTTGTTGGGGACGCGCATCGGCCTCCCCATCGGGATCGCGTATTCCAATGTCTCTTTACATGACGGTGGACATGTGCAATGCTGCCCACGCCTACTTCATCAAGCACGACAAGAAGATTTGTTACATTGGGAAGAACCACCCGCACGACAGTTTTGCGTCTAACGCGCGCGCCTCGAACCTGTGTCAGGAGCTCGGCCAGGTGTCGTACATATTCTCGGACAAGACTGGTACGCTGACCCAGAACGTGATGGAACTCCGGATGATTTTCATCGCTGGTGTCAACGAGGCATACGGCGACTGAGTCCTTCCACTCAGATCAGCTCGTGGAGGCCTGCCTGACGTTGGAGGACACGATGCGTTTCCTTGAGGTCCTCGCGGTGTGCAACAGCGTGGTGGTCACCGAGGGCAAGGAGGGCGGGCTCAACTACGAGGCCGAGAGCCCCGACGACGAGGCCCTGGTGGCGGGGGCCAAGGAGCTCGGCTGGGAGCTCCAGGCGCGGAATGGAGGCAAGGTCACCATCGTCGCGGGAGCGAGCAGGAAAGCAGAATACGCCATAGTGGCGACGAACGCGTTCGCTTCTTCGCGAAAGCGAGTGTCCGTCATCGCCAAGAAGGGCGAGGAGTACGTATTGCTGGCCAAGGGCGCCGACAACGTGATGGCAGACCGCCTCGCACGGGGGCGGGGCGAGGACGCCGGCGCGCTGCAGTCCACCCTGACGACGTTCTCCAAGGCCGGCCTGAGGACCCTGGTCCTGTGCCGACGGCGGCTCGATGCCGCAGTCGTCAGGCCCTGGCTGGAGGAGTGCAAGGCGGCCGACGTGGACCTAGGCGACCGCGAGGGTGAACTCGCCAAAGTTGCCGATAAGATCGAGAGGGACCTCGAGCTCTGCGGCGCTACCGGCATCGAGGACAAGTTGCAGGACAGGGTGCCCGAGACCATAGAGAGCATCCGCAAAGCGGGCATCAAGTTCTGGGTGTTGACAGGCGACAAGTTGGAAACTGCGAAGGAGATCGGCTTCAGCGCCAACGTCCTCGTCAAAGAGTGAGAAGCGCACGGCGGATCCACGAAGTTGAGAGGTCGAGAGGGGACGTGCAGGGGCAGCTCCAGGCGGTGCTGGACAAGTGCAAGGGCAAGGAGCCCGACCACCTGGCCCTCCTGATCACGGGAGACGCGCTCATCGATGTGATGGAGAGCGCGTTGCTGCAGCGGCTCCTGCTGGACATCGCCAAGGCCGTGTCCATCGTCATGGCCTGCAGAGTGTCGCCGCTGCAGAAGGCGCAGATGGTGTCGCTCGTGCGCGCGAACGTCGTGGGCCCCGACGGCCGGGCTGTGGTCACCCTGGCGATCGGGGACGGGGCCAACGACGTGCCCATGATCCAGACCGCCCAGGTGGGCGTGGGCATTGCTGGCCGTGAAGGCCGGCAGTCCGTGAACAACTCGGACTTCGCCATCGTGCAGTTTAAGTATTTGGGGCGGCTGCTGTTCCTGCACGGCCGCTGGAACTACCTCCGCACGTGCAAGTGCACGCTCTTCACGTTCTGGAGGAATGCGGTCCAGGTGCTGATGATCACTATCTATACCTACGTCTCGGGCTTCTCTGGGACGATCCTCTTCGAGGATTCGATCCGAATCCTTTTCAACTTTTTCGGCGCTGTCCCAATCATCCCGACAGGCATCTTCGACCAGGACGTGGACGAGAGGCTCGCGCTCGCGCGCCCGCTCCTCTACCGCGTCGGCCGCGAGCAGGTTGGGCTGAGCACCCTGAAGATCGCCTGGACATTATTATCGGTCTTAGCACATTCCGTCATTTTGCAATTGGTCTGGTATTTCGCCTTCGACGATATGGTATGGCTGGGGGTCGGAGATTCTTATTCGTTTGGAACTGCGTGTTTTAGCGGCCTGCTCGTCGATGTATTTTACCGTATTGGGTTCCTGAGCTACACCCGCAACCATTGGACGATGGCCTCGCTGGGCGTGTGCATTTTCGGCTACGTCAGCTACTGCGTCTTCTTGTGCGTAATGCCGCCCAATGGGAATATTCCGTTACTGAGCTCCTTGTTGGAGCCGAAAATATACAGGGTACCCTGGCAGCTCGCGAAAACAGCGCCCTTCTGGATGTGCACCGTGTGCGCGTCCCTCTTCGCGGCGGTGTTCGACACCGGCATCGACTTCTTCCTGGAGACCACGAGCGTGACCCAGCGCGAAGTGCAGCAGGACAGAAAGCGTGCGCTCCAGATTGCCATCGAGCAGCAGCGCGGCGAGGCACCAGGGCTCAAGTTCTTCGGCATCAGGAACGGGAAGTTCTCGCTCGCGTTGTCCAGCGGCATCCCAAAGACGGGGATAGCCAAGGACGCCCATTACCAGCCTTTGGTGTCGAATGAGTCGAAGCGACCACAGGAAGCGGACGAAGCTGTACAGCCGCTCCTCAAAGAGCTGCGTGCAGAGACTCGGTCCTGCCGGTTCCGCGACAGAGATAGACAAGTCGCAAGAAGATCCGGCAATTGCGCGCGCGCGAACGACGAGGAGGACAAGTCGTGGGAGGTCTATTCGAGGTTGCCGCCTCCCAGGAGCGGCGACATGTGCTGGCGGCACCAAGCTTACGCAGATTTAGGCATCAATCTGGACCCGGTGTCGCAGCAGCAGTGCTATTCCTACATCTCGGTTGGCGAGTTTTTGACGAAAGATTCAGATGTGTGAACGTGTTGTTTGCAGTGGTGGCTGTATTTTTTCTTATCGTATTGGGTGGTGTCAATTTTCGCTACGCGATGAACGTTCAGACGGCCATCGTGAACTATGTCTGAGAAGGCTGCCCGTGGGAGCAGGAGCTTGCCGTGAAGTGTCCGCGCCAGGATCTGGTCGAAGAGGGCGGCACCAAGACAATGCACATGGACCTCTCGCACATCGACGGCGACATCGTCGTCGCCTACGTGGTTGGCCCTTTTATCAGAACCACCACGACTACCTGGAGTCCGAAGTGATTCAGGAGTTACAGGGTATGAAGAGTTTCGAGGACCTGGCAGCCATGCGGGAGAGAAAGTGCGTGGAGCCGACGCGTAAGAGCGGCAACAAGGAGATCGTGCCGTGCGGCCTGAAGGCCAACAGCGTCTTCAACGACACGTTTTTATTCAGCATTGGCGGTGTTCCCATCAAGCTCGAGGAGAGCGTGGATGACATCGCGTGGGAGTCCGATATTCACAGATACCACTTTCGCGAGGACTACACTGGCGACAAGGAAACAGTGCAGCTCACCGACATTTACGGGCCGGACGTCATCGACCCAGCGCTCGGCGTGAAGTCCCCGCGCTTCGTGGCGTGGATGAGGCCCGCGGCCCTGGACCACGTGATCAACCGACTCGGGTGGATCCGAAAGAGTGACAAAAAGGGTAAGGATATGAGCAAAGTGAGCGTGGAGATCACTAACGTCTTCCCCGTGCAGGCCTTCCACGGCTACAAGCAGCTGGTGTTTACGGAGGTAAACGCGATGGGCGGCGACGAGGAGATGCTCGGCTGGCTCCTGATATGTTTCGGCGTCTTATCCTGGATTTACGGCTGCGTCCTGTTGTTTTGGATATACTGTTGCTCGCTGCGGTACACACAAGATAGCAGGCATGCCGTTGCAGAGGATGTCGAGAGACCTGCACTCTGGAGGCAGAATTTGGGCTGCTCGTAGCGACACGCCCCTCAACATGGAGATCATGTCCGTGACGTTTCACCAAACTGATTTTGAATTCGTGAAGCTTGTCGGCTTAAAGGGCCATTGTCGCGCTCCTCGTCGTTTGCATCTGGATCCCTGGGGCACTGGACTAGTCGTCGCTGGCCCCTGTTTTCTGTGATGACATCCTCTTTCTTCTTGATGATCATTGTTGTCGTTGTTACCTCTGTTTCCCGATTTCCCTCCTGCACAGTCGTTCGATCCCTAGCGGAGGCAGAATTTGGGCAGCTCGTAGCGACACGCCCCTCAACATGGAGATCATGTCCGTGACGTTTCACAGGCAGTGTACGCCATTCGAGGCATAGGCCAAAGCAGCAGCAGTAGCAGCAGCAGCAGCAGGCAGCAGTAGCAGTAGCAGCAGAAGCAGCAGCAGCAGCACTTCTGGCCGTAGGCCAGTCTCATCTTAGTTCCAGAAGCCTGGCCCCAGCCGTTCCACGACGATGCGTAATGGTGCCATCTCCGAGCAGCACGTCGATGCATAGGCCAAAGCAGGGGTTGTAGTTCCGGAGGCCTGGCCCCAGCCGTTCCACGGCGACGCGTATTGGTGTTTTCATGCGGAGCCCTCCTCGTGCACAGGACATGCCGAGGCCCGCGGCGATCGGCTCAGAGTGAAGCCTTCCTCCTTGTCCTTCTTCCTCCCCCTCCCTCCTCCCTCCTCCTCATCCTCCTCCTCCTCTTTCTCCTCCTCCTCCTCCTCCTCCTCCTCTCCTCCCCCTCCCTCCTCCTCCTCGTGCTCGTCGTCCTCGTCGTCCTCGTCGTTATCCTCCTTCTCTTCCTCCTCCTCCTCGTTCTTCTCGTTCTCCTCCTCCTCCTTCCCCTCCTGGTCCTTCTCCCTCCCCCTCCCTCCTCTTCCTTTTGAGCTGCAGCAGCGTTGGCCTGCGAGAGCCGCAGCGTCTGCCCTCCTCCTCCTCCTCCTCCTCCTCCTCCTCCTCCTCCTCCTCCTCCTCCTCCTCCTCCTCCTCCCCTCTTCCCCTTCGTCACCGTCGCCGTCGCCATGATCCTTGCCGTCGTTTGTCGCCGTCGTCGCCGGCTTGTCACGAGGCTTCGCTGCGGCATGGGCCTGCGACCTGGATGCAGTCTACGGGTTCGCGCTCCTCTGCGTGACCTCATCGCCGGGCGGGGCCTACAGCAACTGGCGGGCCGCGCCGCGCCGTCGCCGTCGCCGTCGCTGTCGCCGTCGCTGTCGCTGTCGCCGTTGCTGTCGCCGTCGCCGTCTTCTTCTTCTTCTTCGTCGTCTTCGTCGTCGTCATCGCAATCGCGCCGTCGTCGTAGTGGTCGTGGTCGTCGTGGTCGTCCTCGTCCTCGTCCTCGTCGTCGTCGCCGTCGTCGTCGTGCTGCAGCTTTCGCGCCAGCCTGCGGCTCCAGCGCAGTCGCAGACTCACGGATTCGACTGGTTCTCGTCGTCGTCGTCGTCGTCGTCATGGTGGTGGTCGTGGTCGTGTTCGTCGTCGTCGTCATCGTCGTCGTCGTCGTTGTCGTCGTCGTCGTCGGCGGTGCTCGTCGTGGTTCTTGAGTGTTCCTGGAGATTCTCGTCGCGGCGGCTGCACGCGTCTCGGGGAGCTGGCCAGAATGGACCCTGGGAGTGGTCTGGGGGCCGAGTTTGGGCGTTTTGGGGTTCTCGTCGTCGTCGTGGCCCTCCTCCTCGTCCTCCTTCCTCCACCTCCTCTTCCCTCCCTCCCTCCCTCTCCAGAGACCTCCAGACACCTCCTGGGATCGCAGCAGACCTCTCTCTCCTCCTTTATCGGGAGGGAAGAAGAGGAACGAGGAGGAGGATGAGGAGGATGATGATCATGATGATGATGATGATGAGGAGGAGGAGGAGGAGGAGAAGGATGAGGAGGAGGAGAAGGAGGATGAGGATGAGGATGAGAAGGAGGAGGAGGAGGGAGGAAAGAGTTGAAGACAGTGGGAGGCGGAGGACGATGATGATGCTGCTGACGATGATTATGATGCTGATGGCGACGATGATGCTGATGCTGCTGATGGTGGCGACGAAGAGGATGACTATACAGATGAATATGCACACGAATATGCAGATGCATGTGAAGACGACGATGATGCCGATGCTGATGCTGACGACGACTATGTTGCTCATCATGATGTTGATGATGGCGATGACGATGGCAACGATGCTGATTATGATGGTTATGATGATGAACGGATGGGGATGGTGATGGTGATAATGGTGATGATGCTGATGATGGTGATGCTGATCAGGAGGATGATGATGACGACGCTGCTGCTGCTGAAAATGTGATGCTGCTGCTGATGATGATCCTGAAGCTTATGCTGCTGCTGATGATGATGCTGATGATGATGACGATGGTGATGATGCTGATGACGATGATGATGATGATGATGATGATGATGATGATGATGATGATGATGATGATAATGATGCAGATGATAATCATGCTTATGATGCTGAGGCAGTTGCTGCTGCTGCTGATGCTGCTTCTGTTGCTGCTGTTGATGATAATGATGATGCTGATGATGAGGATGAAGACGACGGTGGTGGTGATGGTGGTGGAAATGATGATGGCGCGATGCTGCTGTTGATGATGATGATGATGGTGATGATGGTGATGATGATGATGCTGATGATGCTGCTGCTGATGATGATGCTGTTGATGATGCTGGTCATGATGATGCTGTTGATAAAGATGGTGATGCTGATGCTGCTGATGATGATGATGATGTTGATGATGCTGATGATGTTGATGATGCTGATGATGATGTTGCTGCTGATTATGATGATGATTATGATGATGATTGTGATGATGACGATGATGTTTCTGAGGATGACGATGATGATGACGATGATGATGATGATGATTATGATGATGATGATTATGATGATGATGATGATGATGATGATGATGATGATGATGATGATGATGATGCTGCTGCTGATGATGATGATGATGAGGATGCTGATGCTGATGCTGATGCTGATGATACTGATGATGCTGATGATGATGATGATGGTGATGATGATGATGATGATGATGATGAGGAGGAGGAGGAGGAGGAGGAGGAGCAGAAGGAGGAGGAACAGGAGGAGGGAGGATCGGATCGGATCGGATGGCCCAGTTAGCTGTTTGGCGAGGTCCGAGACCATGTGGGCTCGACGGTCGAGGAGGGCCCCATGAGGATCCTGGACAAATTCCAGGCATCAAGACCCCGAAACGATTTCGAAGACAGAGGCTATCAGGAGCAACAGCAACAAACACATTAGTTGATGAACGCAGTAGGGCGCAGGTTATAGGCTCAAGCGTGCGCCCTGGCGTAGCGGGCGGCTGGTGCCGGCCGGCATGGAAACCTCGGATACGGAGGCGGCCCAGGCGCCGACAGAGTGCAGAGGAGGCGGAGTGGGAGGAGGGATCAAGGATGAAGGACGGAGGTGAAAGACGGGAGGGATGAGGAAGGAAGGATGATGGAGGAGGAGGAGAAGGGAGGGAGGGAGGGAGGGAGGGTGGGGAGGAGGATAAGGAGGAAAGGGAGACGGACGGAGGAGGAGGAGGTGGTGGTGGACGAGGTGAAGGAAGAGTCCGTGGAGGTGGAGGGGGAGGCGGATGGAAAGAGGAATGATGAAGAGCAGGAGGAGGGATGCGAGAGACTCGAGGTGGTCGGATGTGGGAGGTAGGAAGGGGGAGGAGGAGGATGAGGAGGGGGAGAGGAGGAGGAGAAGGAGGAGGAGGAGGAAGAGGAGGAGGAGGAGGAGGAATGATAAAAAGAAGAAGGGGAGGAGGAGGAGGAGGAGGAGGAGGAGGAGGAGGAGGAAGAGGAGGAAGAGGCGGAAGAGGAGGAAGAAGAGGCGGAAAAGGAGGAGGAAGAGGAAGAGGCGGAGGAGGAAGAGGAGGAGGAGGAGGAGGAGGAGGAGGAGGAGGAGGGGGGATTCTCCTGGATTCTCCTGAAACGCACGCACTTGCATTGCATCAACATAATCACTCTCGCCACTGTCCTCGCACTTCGCATGCTGGACAGCACGAGAGAGAGAGAGAGAGAGAGAGAGCGAGAGCAGGAGAGGCGGCGGCGGTGGGAGGCGCCTCCGAGGCCAGCTGCATGTAGCTGGCCGGCTCGCTGGGGTCGTGCACCGCGGACCGAGCCAGGTACTCATCAAGCGGGGAGGGGCCAAGGCACGGCCCAGGGATACGACCAGGAGCACTCGCAATCGCCACGGCTCGGTCGGCACGCGCAGGCAAAAGAAGGCCGCAGGGGGCCCCCCGTGTGAGACGGAGACACATTCTTGCGCTCGGTTCTCGAGTCCCTTCTTGGACGGGGCCTTGTCACCCCTGGCAGCGCACTCGGTCGACAGCCTCCTGCCGTCAATCGTGGCAGGTGAAGCCGCACGTTGAACAGCATTTCGCCCCAACCAACTCCCTCATCAGGTGCAGGCGATGGGATGAGTGCAGCTTCGAACCTGCAACATGCTGCTTATCAGTTAGCGGCTCGAAGAGGAAATTGTCTTCAAAACCAGCAGAAACAAGGGGCCCGCGGATCCAGCTTCGGCGACGAGGGTCCGAGGACAATCCTGAGCCGCCACGGCCAAACGCTGGGAGCGGGGCACTATCTGCTTACACAATCGACACCGCCATTTGCTGACGTAGGGTTTGAACATGTGAGTGCTCTTGCGAAGGGCCAGGTCTAACTAAGTGGGGGGAGGAACACGCGGGGGGATGGCTCGACCTCGAACGAGTTCAGTGATGCACGCCTCGGCCTCCGTCGGACCATGGCAGCGGCGGCATCACAGAAATCAGTGCGCGGGGGTGGGTTGACAACAGCGAAATCCCAAGACCACCTGACAGCCACCCCCGCCCACTGGTCAGCGCAAGAGTTCCCTTGGCACAAGAAAGCCTCTCACGGAGTCCGAATTCGATCAGGATCCTGCTCCATGTGAAACTGTGTCCACACAGTCAGGACCTCTTCAGGGCCGCGGGATTTCAGAGCCAGACCGGTCCTCACCTACAGGTCTCCGTTCAGACCGCGAGGAGCCTGTGCCCAGCCAAGGTTCCAGTCGGAAGCGAGAGACTTGCAATCAGTGACGTACACGAGCGGGGGCCTCTGGTATGCTCCAAAGCCGGACACAACGCGAGCAGCTCCGCCCAAGGGACCGTCTAGCGTCGGCTCACCAGGGCCGCCACTACACTGCACAAAGGCCTCCAGAGCAGCGTTGAGCCAGGCTCCTGAATCGTTAAGACGACTGACGCTCCACACCGCCTACGCCAAGGGTCCTAACTGAACTCACCACCAGAGTCATCCCCGAAAACGTAAAGCGGTCGACCCTCACAGGTCGAACTCTGATCCAGGAGCCTGCTTCTCCCAGAAGGATCTCATGGCCTAACTCAGGACCCTCACTGAACACAGGGACCGTGAGTTCCTTCCGTAGGACCCCTCTACGCCACAAAGCTGGCTCGGCCTCGTGTGTCGCCTGCGGAAGAGGGGAATCAGTACGTGAAATCTTCGTGCCCGCAGTTGGCGGAACACGTCCAACTACGACAAAAAACAAGCAGCCAGGGGCATTTTTACACTTCGGACAGACCGCAGGGCAGTCATAGCCTGCTTCCCGTTGGCGAACTTGTGGCCATTGACCTCCTGCAAGCACCGTAAGATTGGCAGACCAGAGATTCGCATCACCTTTCTTGGCAAGATAATCCAATTCTCGAGGCATAAGCGTCATGCCAGCACCAGCGCTAAGATGATCCTCTGCTGGATGTTTGGACGCAGGCTGCCAAAGTTTCAGAGTGCAATCATCCATGAAATCCCCAAGTAGGTCATCGTACTTAGAAAATGCCGCAACGTCAAAACCTGGATCGCGAAAGGAAGGTAGAGCCCATTCTTCTGGACCGTCGTGGCAGTGACGAAACCAAACATTAGGTTCACGAGGCCCCCATCCAGCCTGGACCATGGTGGCCTGAACAGCAGCGATAGAGCCCCGCACATCCGTCCACTTGACTGGCATATTGGAGTGCTGCGCGAGCCGCGCTCGGACATGACTCCGAGCACGACGGACACGACTGGAGACCAGGCTGGCGGAGCCAAAACGGAATCCATTCCTTCAATACCTGCGCACGACGATCCACTCCTGGGTCCGCCATACCCGTCGTGGCTTGCAATTCAGAGGTCAGACACCGTCCACGCTGAGAGCCAGCCAGGGCAGCAGCCGCGCCACGCCGAAGCTTCACGACCTGCGAGGGAGGCGTGCCAAGCAGCTGGTGCCCGAAATTGGCAGACGGGCAGACACGAGGAGTCCACAGCTTCGTAGGAATGGATCGGCTGCCAAGCAGCGCTTTGATGCGCAAGATCATGCCCTGACGACGCCCAGCACGAGCACGACGCTGAGTCATCTTGACACGAGCACGCCGCCTACCTCCAGCGGCATCTGTACCCAGGTCGACCGTGGACGCAACGAATTCGACCGGGATGCCAACCTCATTCAACCTGGGCTCTAACTCCTGGCCGACCAAGTCCGTTGAGGCAGTCAGTTTATTTATACCAGCAACTTATTGTCGTGCAGCTTTGCAGTCAGAAGCCATGGTCTTGCCAAGCTCCAGCATATCAGTTACCACCTTCTGCCGATTGCCCTTCGTGCGGCCGACCGTGTCGTCGGTGTACGTCCACAATCCAGCTGGCGGGGCCGCGCGGTAGGCGTAATCGAGAATACGATGTAACATCACTTTGGCAGAAGGCACGCCGTAAGGGGATCCAGCCACGATGGACCTAGTGATGACCAGGTCGTGACAAATCAAATTGCCACGCTTCAACATGGGCGGAACAGCATGCAACTCCACCTCAAGAAACACATTAATGTCTCGAAACCCACACCCCAATGTTGCATTCATAGGAAGGACGAAGCTCACCGTGTCGTACAACTTCTTCAAGTCCAGGAACAAGGTAGCAACATCAAATCCCATGGCCAAGGAACTCTCATCCAGCTCTGAGCGAAGAAGAGCAGCACGTAAAGCAGAGGAGTCAGCAATCGCTGTGCCCCAGAAAGCCTCCAAGTCCTGCGACCACTCTGCAAGATCCTTGGCCCGCATCTTACTCCAAATCTTAGGCGTAGTCCCCAGCAGCCCCAAGATACGATCCCCACCAGCTTCTCTCGGGATGGAAGCCCCCAAGGTGGCGAGGAGGGCATGTGGGCCATGTGCCCGTGCTCTCGACGAGGTTCAGAAACGTCACGAGTGCCTGCCTTCCTGCCGCTGCCTGTCTCCGCACATCCTGGGGGCCGAGGTTGTCCACGCCTCGAGCCTTCCTAGAAGCCAGCCTGGGAAGAGCAGCATCCAGGTCGGCAAGTTGAAGGGGGGCCAAAGGAACCTCCTGCGCTGCGCGCCAGCATCTGCCCATCATATGCATGGCATCAGCAGGCCTGTTCACGGGATCCGTCCACCTCGACTCCCGGTCGAGGCCGCGAGCGTCGATCCGGAGTTGGGGGTTAGAGGTGGCTTGGCCCGCGGGGTCCAGACTTTCGTTCTCAACTGGAGCCGTGCCCTTCGCGTGGCCATGAACCAGCCAAGGGGGCTGAGGCCAGGAATTCTTGACCCACTACATGAAGGACGAGCGTGCCTTCGTCATCGCACGTACAGCCGCCGAATCAGCCCACTGCCGAATCTGAACCAGCAAGTCAGGTACGTCTTCAACAGGATCCAATGATAAATGAGAGGGCAACCCCATCGAGGTGAAGACCTCATCATGAGTGACCTTCCGACCAAAGTAATCTTGAAACGAATCAACATGGGTGTCCTCAAGCTTCCTGGATAGCTCCGAAGCAAAGCGCTGCGCCTGTGAAATATCAGAGCCATTAGTGACCAAAGAAACGTACCTGACGAACAGCGTGCTGAGGATGCCCCGCCACTCAGCTTGCGGGTTGTGCAGTGCGTGCGCCCAGGAGGGGGACGCAGCTCAGCCCAACAAGAAAGAGGACTGTCGGCACGACCATAATACTCATGCAATCTATCCTCAGGGACACCTTCATGACGTATCCAAGACCTTGATCCCAAACCCGTAGGTTCCATAGGTGTCCTTCAAGGATCCAGGTGGAAACGGTGATCCTATGAAGATTCGGATCCAGGTTCTCCCTATGAAGGGTGATCCTATGAAGACCCTGGATCAAGGATCCAGGTTCTCCCTATGAAGGGTGATCCTATGAAGACCTTGATCCCAAGGACGTTATACTCATGCAATCTATCCTCAGGGTGGAACGTTCCAAGACCTTGATCCCAAACCCGTACTCGTCATCAACGCGTGCACGCTCGCCTGGCCTCCACTGAAAGGCGAAGTGATCTCTGGCGGCGCGGGGGGTAATGCCACGCAGCCGAGGACCAGGATCAGGAAGGTCTCGCGG